ACTTGGGCTACTCTTTTACCAACGAATAGTGGAATTGATCGTCACATGATAACGCCCCCACAGCTGAAAGGGCGAGCATGTTTGGTGGGACGGGGATTCGAACCTGCGACCCTCAGATTGCGAGTCGAGTGCCTTAACCACCTGGCCATGCCGGGCCCTCCTGCACTAGTGAGATAGCACGCGTTTGTTTTTAGCTTTCACTTGAAAATACAGCTTCTTATTTATATTTTGTTTAGTTTATTACATTGATATATTTACACAGTCTACAAAATATGTGCATAATAAATACCACATTTATAAAATCTATACAAAATTTAAAAAAAAGACTCAAACACAAGCACAATACAAAGAACAAAACATCTATTTGTAATATACACACAAAACATAATTTAGCAGTGAAAGACTAGAGGGGAGGCAGTTAGTCATCACTACCCACCGCCAACTTTTTACCAATGAATAGTTGGATTAACGGTCACATTATAACGCCCCGACAGTTGAAAGAGCGAGCATGTTTGGTGGCACGGGGAAACATGAACGAAACTTCACCAGCAAGTCTTGGCTCCTTCAGAACAGGAATGAGTCTCCTTTTCTGAAAAGTCAGAATGAATTAGCTGGACGTACAAATCTGTAGGAATAATGCACATGAGAAAATAGGCATCGAAATGCGGAAGTATCTCTGTTACGTGTGAAGGTCACTCAGGTATCACCCATAAACAAGATCAAGAATGACACAATGCAACTTTCCTATGATACAGCAGATAAGTTCTTTGATCTGTTAAAGGTTAAATTATATATATGATCTCAAAATTTCTCTTCCATAACTTGTGAAATTTTATAATTAGAATTCCTATAACGCTAAATTTATTGTTATATTCATGCATACAAATTTAGTACAGTTGTTGTTGGTGATAATTTGTTTGTGGCTTGTCAGAGACAGTTTCGTGTGTTTTTTTTTTCTGAAATATTTCGTGTGTTTGTTGTTAAGAGCAAAGCTACAAAACAGGCTATCTATGTTCTGCCAATCTGGGATATCAAAACCCGATTTTTTAATGTTATAAGCCATCAGACTTGCTTCTAAGCCACAGGCTCTGGAAAGTTTGCTTGTTTGTTTAAAGTGAAGCACAAAGCTACACAATGGGCTATCTGTACTTTGCGCACCACGGGTACAAAATACTGTTTCTAGCGTTGCAAGTCCGCAGACATTCCGCTGTGTCACTGAAAGATATATACTCAAATAAAAATGCATTTTTTTCATTTTGTATTTGAAACTGAATCTATTGTTTAGTAAGGCATTTTATTTTAGCAAATTTTAAAAATATTTTATATTATGTATTTGCTAACTCATATATATATATATATAGAGAGAGAGATATTATAAGCTTTAAGTTTGATGGTAGCTATGGAAGGTACTGTAAATTATTAAGCCAATTTTTCTAGAATATTTGTCGTATTCAATAAGATATTATTTGTTGTTATTGGTAGGTGTAACGAATTTGTTATTATATATTTATTTTAATATCAACGTTTTTTATATTAAGCTTATATTTAAAAACATGCATAGATTATAGTGTTAAATATGTATTGCGAAACTCCCGCCTATTCTCCAAAGTTGTAGAAGATTTTCGAGAGTAAAAATCAACAACATATG